ATTCCTCAAAACTCCTTTTCTTCCCATGGTGGCTGCTACAGGCGTTGAACTTGTGACGTCACAGCTAGTATAGGGACCAATTCACCGCGAGTGACGATTATGCTAATTGGTAGTACAAGTAGAAGGACAGGTGAAAATCGTACACTTTACACGTCAATATGTCGGCATTGGGATGGCCGGTTTTCATTTTTGTTTGTTTTCGGGTGATGACATTTTTCTTCTGATGAAACAAACAAGTGCCTGTTTCTGTTGGTGCTATCTGCGACGTCATATGAACCACAGGGTCACGTTACAAATGTCTGAAATACATATACGCTGTACTGATACGGGTCATAACACATAAAACATGTAAACGTGTGTTGTGACCCGTAAGTCGTGACCCGTATCAGTCTAGCATATGTGTATTTCAGTCATTTGTAACGTGACCATGTGTGTGTTGTGACCTCTATAAGTATAGCATCGATATATGTATTTCAGACATTTCTAACGTGACCCTGTCTGTGTTGTAACCCCTAGCAGTATAGCATCGATGTGTATTTCAGACTTTTGTAACGTGACCCTCTGTGTGTTGTGACCCCTATAAGTATAGCATCGATATATGTATTTCAGACATTTGCAACGTGGCCCTGTGTGTGTTGGAACCCCTACCAGTATAGCATCGATGTGTATTTAAGACATTTGTAACGTAACCCTGTGGATGAACCCATGTCTTCAGTTCCCCTATCAGTATAGCGTCGATATGTGTATTTCAAACATTTGTAACGTGATCCTGTGTGTGTTGTGACGCGTACCAGTATAGCATCCATATGTGTATTTCAGACATGTGTAACGTGACCCTGTGGTTCATATGAAGTCGCAGATAGCACCAACAGAAACAGGCACTTGTATACTGATAGGGGTAACATCACACACAGGGTCACTTACAAATGTCTGAACTACACATATCGATGCTCTACTGATAGGGGTTACAACTCACACAGGGTCACGGTACAAATGTCTGAAAAACACATATGCTATACTGATGCGGGTCACAACTTACGGGTAAAAACACACGTGTACATTTTTTATGTGTTGTGCCCCGTATCAGTATAGGATCGATATGTGTATTACAGACATTTGTCACGTGACCCTGTGTGTTGTAACCCCTATCAGTATAGTATCGATATGTGTATTTCAAACATTTGTAACGTGACCATGTGTGTGTTGTGACGCGTACCAGTATAGCATCCATATGTGTATTTCAGCCCTTTGTACCGTGACCCTGTGTGAGTTGTAACCCCTACCAGTATAGCATCGATATGTGGATTTCAGACATTTGTCACGTGACCCTGTGTGGGTTGTTACCCCTATCAGTATAGGATCGATATGTGTATTTCAGCAATTTGTAACGTGCCCCTGTGGTTCATATGACGTCGCAGATAGCACCAACAGAAACAGGCACTTGTATACTGATAGGGGTGACAACACACACAGGGCCACGTTACAAATGTCTGAAGGTTTACTCATTGAATACAAGTGTGCCTTATGATAAACCGGTTAACCTTTTATAGACTTGTTATCCTTTTATATTTGAACCCATGTCTTCAGTTCCCCTATCAGTATAGCGTCGATATGTGTATTTCAGTCATTTGTAACGTGACACTGTGTGTGTTGTGAACCGTACCAGTATAGCATTTTTCATTTTTGTTTGTTTTCGGGTGATGACATTTTTCTTCTGATGAAACAAACAAGTGCCTGTTTCTGTTGGTGCTATCTGCGACTTCATATGAACCACAGGGGCACGTTACAAATTGCTGAAATACACATATGCTATAATGATACGGGTCACAACTTACGGGTAAAAACACACGTGTACATGTTTGATGTGTTGTGACCCGTGCCAGTATAGCATCGATTTGTGTATTTCTGACATTTGTAACGGGAAACTGTGTGTGTTGTGAGCCGTACCAGTATATCATCGATATGTGTATTTCAGACATTTGGAACGTGACCCTGTGTATGTTGTAACCCCTATCAGTAGAGCATCGATATGTGTAGTTCAGACATTTGTAAAGTGACCCTGTGGTTCATATGACGTCGCAGATAGCACCAACAGAAACAGGCACTTGTATACTGATAGGGGTAACATCACACACAGGGTCACTTACAAATGTCTGAACTACACATATCGATGCGATACTGATACGGGTCCCAAACCATAAAAAATGTCAACGTGTGTTGTTACCCGTATCAGTATAGCATCGATATGTGTATTTCAGACATTTGTAACGTGACCCTGTGGATGAACCCATGTCTTCAGTTGTTAGATATGTGGACACATTTTCTGTTAATTTTTTTTATAATAAATAAAATTTCACATTGCTACCCAAAAAATCACGGCTGACATGCAAAACATTCGAATCTCTCTGAAATTCCAACTATATTATTTAATCAGAAGATATACAGCTAGAATGCTGTACTAGTTGATCTCATTACATCAAAAATCGAAATATTTCGTGGATAATAACACTTACATTTAGCTATGGCGTGCAAAAACTCCTATGGCGCTAAATCTTCTATGGCGCAAATTAGTGTGACCGTCTAAAATAGATGTATACAAAGCTAAGCACCACACCAGCTGCATTGGACTGCCTCGCATAAAGTATGAATAAAACAAAATTCTAGATAAACACCAACATCAATTTACAAATAGATACGTTCCTCACTCGAGATCAATGTCCATAATACTTTGGATTAAATACAAAGATCAGGATCAAAATATGACACTATAAAGGATTAAGGTTTTTGTACTCCCTCTCGGTTAATTAAATATTGGCAATGATATATAACACTTAAATTGTATCAGATATAAAAGTTGAACAACCTTACAGCTATAGAAGGTAGGTAAAAAACAAATATAAAAGGATAACAAGTCTATAAAAGGGTAACCGGTTTATCATAAGGCACACTTGTATTCAATGAGTAAACCCTTATACAATGACTAATTACTTTACACGGACGCACATCCAAACATACCTGGTATACTGATTAAACCTGGACCTGAAACGTGTTTATAGCAATCTCCAGATCACCATGGAAATTGGTTTGTAACACTCAAAACTTGTTATATTATTTCATGTTAATAATTAGATATGAATTCAATGTACTGAGCTGCTGCCTTTCTCTATCACAGTTCTTTATAACTCTTGACACAGTCGATATATATGTACACTCCAAATATTTCACATAAATGTTAATAATTAAAAAACAAACAACAATCACAACAACATTTGAGATACACTTAGAATGAAAAAGATTTCTACATATTTGTAAGTGATACCTATAGGTCACATATAAACATTTATTGACCACATATTGACAACAATATACTGTAGGTGTAAATATTAGCTCTTTTTCGCGTTTTCAATATTGCACTCAACTATGAAGTGTCTGTATTTCATTTTCTATTGCCCTCTGGTTGTGTCAATCATCAACATGTTTATCTGTTAACATGTGATGATGCACTTAAATTCTAATGTGCCAATACAAATGCATTTACAGTAATTGGGGAGGAACTGAACGTTCATGGTCAGTTGTGACACCAACTCATTCAGGGCTATCTGCCAAACCAGTCAATAGGATATATATAGTGGATTCTTTCAGTGTACATGCTCATGACCACACAAGACACAGGCAACTCATGTACTGACATACATACGACATCTCCAGGCATTTGTGAATCATGAGGTGTATGTATTGTCCCTTTGAGCAGTCCAATGTATTGTTGAGTACCCCAGGTATATATTGTTTACCAGGAAATTTTGCCTGCAGTTTAATTTTGCTTTTTCCATCCTCAGTAGTGGAGAAAAATTTATCATTACAGCGAATATAAGTAAACAGCATAATAAAAATAGTAATTAAATGTGGAGGGCGAAATTAACACTGGGCAAAAATTGATTTCATTGGTAAACGGTGAAAGTTTGACTGGGCAAAACTTTCCAGTATAAAGTACATCAACAAGTCCATCTCCCTCTCACTCGTTATCACTACTGTTGGGTACCCTAGGGTAAATACATCAACAAGTCTCCCTCCCTCTCACTCGTAATCACTGTACTGTTGATTACCCTAGGGTGAATGCATCAACTAGTCCACCTCCCTCTCACTCGTAATCACTGTACTGTTGATTACCCTAGGGTAAATACATCAACTAGTCTCCCTCCCTCTCACTCGTAATCACTGTACTGTTGATTACCCTAGGGTGAATGCATCAACGAGTCCACCTCCCTCTCACTCGTAATCACTGTACTGTTGAATACCCTAGGTTAAATACATCCACAAGTCCACCGCCCTCTCACTCGTAATCACTGTACTGTTGAGTACCCTAGGGCGAATACATCAGCTAGTCCACCTCCCTCTCACTCATAATCACTGTACTGTTGAGTACCCTAGGGTAAATACATCGACAAGTCCACCGCCCTCTCACTCGTAATCACTGTACTGTTGAGTACCCTAGGGCGAAAACATCAGCTAGTCCACCTCCCTCTCACTCCTAATCACTGTACTGTTGAGTACCCTGGGTAAATACATCAACTAATCCACCTCCCTCTCACTCGTAATCACTGTACTGTTGAGTACCCTAGGGAAAATACATCAACATGTCCACCTCCCTCTCACTCGTAATCACTGTACTGTTGAGTACCCTAGGGTAAATACATCAACATGTCCACCTCCCTCTCACTTGAATCAATGTACTGTTGAGTACCCTAGGATTAATACATCAACTAGTCCACCTCCTTCTCACTCGTAATCACTGTACTGTTGAGTACCCTAGGGTAAATACATCAACAAGTCCCCCTCTCTCTCGCTCGTAATCACTGTGCTGTTGAGTACACTAGGGTAAATACATCAACAAGTCCCCCTCTCTCTCGCTCGTAATCACTGTGCTGTTGAGTACACTAGGGTAAATACATCAATAAGTCCCCCTCTCTCTCGCTCGTAATCACTGTGCTGTTGAGTACACTAGGGTAAATACATCAACAAGTCCCCCTCTCTCTCGCTCGTAATCACTGTGCTGTTGAGTACACTAGGGTAAATACATCAATAAGTCCCCCTCCCTCTCACTCCTAATCACTGTACTGTTGAGTACCCTAGGGTAAATACATCAACTAGTCCCCCTCTCACTCGCAATCACTGTACTGTTGAGTACCCTAGGGTAAATACATCAACAAGTCCACCTCCCTCTCACTCGTAATCACTGTTCTCACTTTCATCCTCTCTGTACCCATCTTCACTGCCGTTGAATTCATTAAAATTATCACCATCTCCCCACATGTAGTTTTTGTGTTTTTTAACTGAAACAGAAAAAAATAATTATAAGTGTGGCAAATACTTCAGTTATCAAACTACATGTAGTCTGGAACTAATAAGGTTAGAAGCAGAAGCCTGTCAAACTATGAGTGCCTCAGTACAATGGCTGTACATCTGTCTAAATATTTTCTTTACTGGTCGTGAAACTTTTTATTACTGAGAAGTTGACCAATGAGACCAATGAGACCTGACAAACCTCTATTATCATTATCAAACTAAATTATGGGCTCAAGAGATATAGCAAGTTTCTAGTTCAGCATGAACAAGTCTAATTCCCTTGAAGAAGTCTAGGAAATTGGCCTGACCAAGGTGATTTTTTTTTGCAATATCCCAAAACCCCATACTTTAACTGTTTTCATAACACTGATTCGAATGCAGGGAACTTGTTAAAACCAACATTCCTATTGTGATGTTTGGACATCTATTTAGATCAGCATATACTCTTTAAATACTGTCTGTACTGTTGTATCAAGATTGATAACAACTAGTTGGGGTCAAAACTGTACATGTAGTTCTGTGGGTGAGGTCATATCTGTACAAGCTCTGTGGGTGGGGTCATGTCTGATAAAGTTCTGTGGGTGGAGGTCATCTGTGGGTGAGATCATATCTGTACAAGCTCTGTGAGTGGAGGTCATCTGTGGGTGGGGTCATGTCTGATATAGTTCTGTGGGTGGGGTCATATCTGTACAAGTTCTGTGGGTGGGGTCATGTCTGATATAGTTCTGTGGGTGGGGTCATATCTGTACAAGTTCTGTGGGTGGGGTCATGTCTGATAAAGTTATGTGGGTGGAGGTCATCTGTGGGTTGAGGTCATATCTGTACAAGTTCTGTGGGTGGGGTCATGTCTGATAAAGTTATGTTGGTGGAGGTCATCTGTGGGTTGAGGTCATATCTGTACAAGTTCTGTGGGTGGGGTCATATCTGTGCAAGTTCTGTTGGTGGGGTCATGTCTGTACCAGTTCTGTGAGTGGAGGTCATCTGTGGGTGGGGGCATGTCTGGTATAGTTCTGTGGGGGGGGTCATATCTGTACAAGTTCTGTTGGTGGGGGCATGTCTGTACAAGTTCTGTGGGTGGGGTCATATCTATACAAGTTCTGTGGGTGGGGTCATATCTGTGCAAGTTCTGTTGGTGGGGTCATGTCTGTACAAGTTCTGTGGGTGGAGGTCATCTGTGGATGGGGTCATGTCCGTACAAATTCTGTGGATGGGGTCATGTCTGTACATGTTCTGTGGGTGGAGGTCGTATCTGTACATGTTCTGTGGGCGGGGTCATATCTGTACAAGTTCTGTTGGTGGGGTCATGTCTGTACAAGTTCAGTGGGTGGAGGTCATCTGTGGGTGGGGTCATGTCTGTACAAATTCTGTGGGTGGGGTCATATCTATACAAGTTCTGTGGGTGGGGGCATATCTGTACAAGTTCTGTTGGTGGGGTCATGTCTGTACAAGTTCTGTGGCTGGAGGTCATCTGTGGGTGGGGTCATGTCTGTACAAGTTCTGTGGGTGGGGTCATGTCTGATTAAGTTCTGTGGGTTGGGTCATATCTGTACAAGTTCTGCTGACTTCTCACCAGATTGGGTTACGTATTTTAGGAAGTTATGGAATAGGCTGAAGGAGTAAGTCTGCTTCTGCCGTAACTTTCAAGGCAGGTAGTCTTCAGGGGTGTATACGTTTTTTAAACTAACACCTGGCTGATACAGGGCTAACTCCCTTTGGCAGTAAACTCAGGTTTAAAAGCAGGGATATAGTCAATTTAACAAAATCCCGCTACATAGAGTGAATAAAGTAAAGATATATTAATCCCATATTACACCTTCTATCATTATTACATAAAATTCCCTATCATGGTGACATCTCACTCCCTAATAATTAGACCTCACACTCTCTAATACTGAGATCTTAAATTCCTTTATTTTTCGGACCTATAATTAATATTCTTTATTGATACCTATCACTTTCTATTCCTGAGACCTCAATTTTTTATTATTGAGAATCATCACGGTATTATTGAGATCTACCAGTTTCTATAAGCTCCATTCTGTACTATCGAGACCACCATTATCTACTATCGATACCTACCATCCTGTATATGGGTGACAGGGTCATACTTGAGGACCATATCCTTGGCCTCGGGATGATCCTCTAGGTACTGTCTCCTGGCCTCGTGGGCTGCAGCCTCCATTTCCTGTACATGTATTACTGTAGATTCTTCTTGATTACTGCAAGTACTAAAAAGCAAATAGATCAGAATAAACAATTTTATTTTCTTGCACTGAAATGTCATATCAATAAATTGTTCTTTACTCTAATTACAAGTTAAATACCAAAATATAACTTGAATAAGATCAAATTTCAACTTTACAACCAATGTTTAAAGAATGGCAGAGATGACATAGTTTTGTTTTGGACACTGAGGTATTTGTGTAGTGCACAATCTTAGGTTGTACATTTATCCTAACAAAGACTTTAACTTTGACCTCCAAACCTGAAAAGCCATCCCAAGTAATTACATTTTCATTGACATAGCAGTGTTTCAAGTTTTAGTGATGATATTATACCAATCGTCCCACTTGAGCAAATGTGCAAAAAACATTATTCTATTTACATTAACAGTGACATTGACAATGACCTTCAGACATGAAATGCAATCTCAAACAAGAACTTTCGAATGAGAGGCAGTGTATATGTCAACAGAAGCCTGAGACATTTCAGGGAAACCAATTTTTCTTTACAGTACCAATGACTATTGCCTTTGACCTTTAGGCCTGGGGTAAATGCATCAACAAATCTCCCTCTCACTTGCAATCACTGTACTGTTGAGTACCCTAGAGTAAATACATCAACTAGTCCACCTTTTAGGAACCCTTTATGAAATTTGAGTGTGTCACTGTGTTGGCAAATGGATACTTGATTTATTGTGAAGAAACTAATTTTCTATGTATTGCAACATGACCTTGACATTTGACATCCAGAACTAAAAAGCAATCTCAAGAAAGCTCTTTTTGATGGGAACTCAAGTTATTGTGCAGAAACCAATTTTCCATTTATAGTAGCAGTGATCTTGATCCTTGACCTTCATTCAGACCTCAAAAGCAATCCCAAGAAACCCTCATGGTAAGGAAGCCCTATATAAAGGTTTGTGTTTTATGGACCCATAGGTATTCAATAATTATGCCGAAACATATTCTGGGCAGCTAGAGTAACGTGTAATGCAGTACATTTTAGATTTGTTATAAACTATATCATCTGTTTTATGCTCTTTAATAACTAATTAAGATCTATGTTGTTTTCATTCCATTTTTTATTGCTAGTTATACATTTTTTTAAAAACATTTTTGCCAAATTTAAATATTACTGCTCATTTTTCTGCTTTAAACTACTGCATTGCATAAATGTTTCCCACTTTCATTGGAAACTTAGGGTGTCTACTCTTTTAAGGTGTTGAATAACTCATTTGGAATATAGTCTAGTTTTATGAATGAAGAAAGGTACAAAAGTATTCACTTCCTTTCACACATACCCTTTATTGAAGTGATCGTAGTCAATGTTCTCTTCTCGACAAAAGTAACACTGGGTTGCGCCACAGGTACAGGTCATTTTATTACAACCCGCCTCCTTGATGAATCTTTTGTTACAGTTATGGCACTTCCTCAGCATTGCCTCAGTAACACGGGTCTCAATGTACGTTCTCATGTCTGTCTCGCCCTGCTTCTCCACCTCGTTACACCGCAGGGGTATATGACTCGGCTCACCACAAAGCCTACAGGAACAGTTGTGATTAACGAACATGCATTGTTTTAATATAAATATAAAATATAAACTATATATATCAGCTCTTTGTGTCAGGCACTGGCCAGGTAGAACTGCTGTCACTCATCAAAATGTTATTTACCTGTTCTGTTACCTGGGAGCCGAACGCATTCTTGACAGTCTAATGGTCACTGCAATATTGTGTAACACGCATAGTTATATTGAACGTAATCTTAATTATTGTTATGAGAAATTAATATATACAGTGAACCTTATTTCATACAAGCCTTGGACTATATTTTTTTCGTTCCATAATAATTGTCAACCAACTGTACCAAACTGCACATTTGTACAGAGAGGAGCCCACAGCGGGGCGAACGATTGTTAAATCATACAGTTGTACACACCATGTACAGAAGATGTGCTCAAGCTATGTGCAAGCTAATTTTGGTGCATTGTGCGGTCACATATAAATTAAGACCTTTACCTACAGCTACAAGACTCCAAGGCACATTCTAAAATTAAGACACTTACAATACATTCTATAAATAAAGACACTTACTTATATAATTATAGCTACAGGACTCATTGACTCATTCTTAACTTAAGACATTTGCCAATAGCTACATAATGCCAAGACACATTCTAAAATTGAGACATTTACCCAAAGCTACAGGACTCAAAGACACATTATAGAATTAAGACACTTACCTACAGGATTCCTTGAGACATTCTGGGTTAATTAGACACTTACCTACAGGATTCCTTGAGACATTCTGGGTTAAGACACTTGAACACTTTATCATCGGGATTAGAGATGATGGTGGCAAAGCTACAGAATGGACAGCTGACAAGGTCAGGTATGTCTGCCTGTTTGACCTCTGCCTCCTGTATCCTCTTCAACAATATGGAGAACATGTTCGGGGACATGACTTCCTGTAGCACAGGAAGTGGGAACTGATAATCACAACTGTCAGTCAAACAAGGAAAAGAACACTTGCCGTCTCCGATAACAACCTCTGATGATCGCCTCACGCACTCCTTACAGAAAAGATGACCATCTTGACAGGATGTCATGTCCTCAAAAAGACATTCATCATCAAAGCAGCACTCACAGGGGAGCAGCTCACCATTAGCTCTGGCCTCCTCTCGTCTCATCTCCTTCAGGGTCCTTTGTTGCTGCAGGTGATCTGTATCAATAATTGTACCATAAATACCTTACACTTCCTGGATAATAAAGTAACCATTGTAAATTATTCTTATTATATAAAATGCCTCCAATGGTACTGAAGAAGAAGGATTTTAAAGATTTAAATCTCAAATTCCCCTATTGGTCCCCGCAACTCTGCACCCAGAGGGGCCACAGCCTCTGTTTATACAAAATTGTGAGTCACCTCGGCCAAAAGATGCTCCAGACCAAATTAGGATAAAATCCCTTTTACCCATACGGTAAAAGAGGGATTTAAATTTTTTCCCTCTATTTCCCTTATTGGGCTGAGCTCCTCTGCCCCAAGGTGGCCACACCCACCGTTCATACAAGTCCTTCTGACCAGGTGAGCTAAAAAGCCCTAGAGCAAGAGATGTCACAATTGTACATAAAGCATTTTTATTAATAAGGAATAACCTCATGTCAAATTATTTATAAAAACATTACAAGAGGCTTTTAATGTGAAGAAATGAAATCAGATTCTTCAGTCAGTCTACTTCATAATAAGCGAGTGGGTTCATTAATATTTAAGCTGTATATGATACAGTATATAGGAGTTTATGATAAGATCAATCAATAAATCCTTAATACAGATAAATAGCATTAGTTTTAATTGAGTAACTGGGATTACTTTTGATTTCTCTTTCATTCCGCAAGTAGAGCATCTCGTTGAAGAAAAGTTCTTCTGGTTCCTCTGGGAGTGGGAGTAAAGGCCTCTGTGTCGGGACGAACAGTTCGGACATGAAATCTGCATCACATAATACAGTATCAGTATGGTTGAAAGAAGTTCATTCGGTATACTCAAATAACCTCAACCACATTTCAATACTTAATATACAATGTACCTAGGTAAGAACAGCAAAAGCTATCATATCTTGCAAAATTGAACTTTTTTTTTACCTCTGTTAATAAACTTTCAGACCAACCATTAAATGACACAGGTGTTGGCAAATCAATCAAATTTATCATCTCAAACTAAATCCTATGTTGCTTACAACTTCCTGTTGGTATAAACAAATATGTTGATCATGATCACTCAAAATATTATAAAACATTGGTAAAATGTTCAACTCTTGACAGTTGTTAACAAGTTAAATTCATGTAAAATGTTTATTCATTTGAAAATAAATAACTTGAATTAAATGAACCATGTACTGTAAGCAGGAAAACTTTTGGCGCAGTTCACTGTTCCCCATTTTCACCTTTCATTAAGTGGTCAAATTCATTATGACAGCAAAGAGCTATAGTAGAACCTTTATCATTTTATCTTACCCTCACTGGTAACACATTAAACTATATACTTTCCTATCATCAATATGATTGTTTTATCTTTGAACCTTTGAAATTTCACATCTCCAACAGATATAGAAACGCTTCAGATTTACGACACCTACGTATACCCATGGGTCATATATATATATATATATGTTATATATATATATGTTAGTCAAGGAATACAAATTTAAATTTTAAGCAAGCCTATTCCAAATTTAGTCACATTGGTTCATTATGTACTCTAAGGTCAATGTGGTTGGACAAATACATATGATTAGCAATGATCAATACTGTGTGGTAGTACCTACCTATATGGTGACTGGTATTTATTAATATTTATCAATGGTATGTATACCTACCTACAAGGTGACTGGCATTTATTAATATTTATCAATGGTACGTATACCTACCTACAAGGTGACTGGCATTTTTCAGTTGTACGTATACCTACCTATAAGGTGACTGGCATTTATTAATGGTATGTATACCTACCTATAAGGTGATTGGCATTTATTAATGGTATGTATACCTACCTATAATTGCAAGGTGACTGGCATTTATCAATGGTACGTATACCTACCTACAAGGTGGCTGGCATTGATCAATGGTACCTACCTACAAGGTGGCTGGCAATTATAAATGGTACGTATACCTACCTACAAGGTGACTGGCAATTATCAATGGTACCTACCTACAAGGTGTCTGGCATTTATCAATGGTATGTATACCTACCTACAAGGTGTCTGGCATTGGTCAATAGTACCTACCTACAAGGTGGCTGGCATTGGTCAATAGTACCTACCTACAAGGTGGCTGGCATTGATCAATGGTAAATGATACCTATCCATATACTACATATCAGATATGTGGTTGAAGACTTACCTCCAAGGTCACTTATATTCGTTAGCACTACTCTCTTACAAAGAGTCAAGCAGTAGTTGCTTGCTTCCATTATCTGCTGCAGGTATTCCTCTGACAATTTTCGGAAGTCATTTTGAAGTTGAACAGTCACATGTTTCTTGTAGTTATTTGACATTGCTTTGTTCTTATCACAGAAAAACAATTCAGGATCTGGAAACTTTGCCAAAAATTCCTTCATATCAAATGTTGCTTTGATTATTTTCTGTTTCTTTTTTAATTTACTCTCATTATCTAGCACTTCTTTCAGCTTTGGGTAGTCTTTTTTCTCCAACATCCTTATTGCGAGTTTTTTTACGCGATCTACATCATCCTTCCTTTCCTCTAGAGCATTGTACAGATAGTTGGGATCACAATCAGGGAATATGTCTTTCAGTTCTTGTAACTCCTCCTCAAACTCTCCCACACCTGGTATGGAGGGCTTCTTTATCCCAGTGCCCCCAGCCTCCTTCATGTCATGATCTGCATCCTCAGAGTCCCTCTCGTCGCTCATAAGCTCCTCGATCACCAGTTTAATCCTGTTCTTTTTGTCATAGTGAGCTTCCAGGTAAGCATATATCTCGTTAGGGTCCTTATGTGGAACAACCTTTTTCACAATCTGCATATCCTTAAACAATGGGTCATTGCTGACAGTTGGGTCTTGAGGGATGGAGTCGTCTTTCTTAAGACTGGCAACAGTATTGTTTTTAAGAGCACTTATCACTTGCTTCACCCTATCTGCCTGACTTTGACCTTGGATATCTGACACCAGCTTTCTCACCTGGTCGGGATGTGCCTCTGGCATCTGGTTCATAACCAGCCTTACATCCTCCTCAGATAAATGTTTAGGGTTATAAACCTGCCGTAGAATTTTAGTAAACACTCTATCTACACGATCTGGTCTGTTCCCTTCCTCCTGCAGCAAGTGTTGTATTTCTTCAGCTGTTAATGGTAAGGCTTCCATATTGGCCATAGCTTTATCTATTACACTGACAAAGTCTGCCAATAATAAAGCACTTGTGTCCTCCCGTTCTGAGACTGTTGTTTTCTGATAAATTCCTGCATTTTCTAGAATATTATTCATAACAACATCAACTCTATTTGGATTTCTTCGTTTGCTTTTCAAACTTTCATATATCTTTTCAACATCTGTATCACTGACGATACTAGCTATCAACTTTGCATCTTTGAAAACAGATTCAATCTTCGTCATTGCTGGTTTCTTCTGATTAGTTTCTAAATCATCTAGATGACCGATCTGATCAGCTTTTAAGTCATCTTGATGATCAATCTGGTCAGTTTCTTGATGACCTTGTGTATTGGCTTTACCACCATTTTGCTGTTTTCTAACTACTGATTGGTCAGTGTCCCCTTGGTCAAGCCGTTGGGAGTCTAGGTCGGATCCCATACTGTAGTCAACAGTTTTCTGGCTGTCTGTTTTGGACTCGGCATGGTCCCCATTAGATACAATTAGGCCTACTTCTGATGTTAACTCATCTCCTTCACTCAGACGTGGTTTCTTAGTGGGTACAGAATCAGACATCTCTTCCATTTCTGAAAACACTAATATGACAATTGTTTTATAGATAACGAATTATTTTACAGTCAACACAATTTCAAATTAACTTTCTAGATAAAAAATGTTAGAAACCTATCAACGAGAAAATTGTCAAATGAAAGCATATCAAGCCGATACATGTTTATGAATACTTTATTTTTTGGAATATTTCAATCCGAATCAGAAAAAAAGAGCCTGTTACATCATTCATTAAAATCCAGCATTTTCATATTAAATGTATGTATTGTGTATGCTTCTTTACGAGAATGAAATTTCCAAGAAGAACCAGAGGTATCCAACATGTTACTAATATGATGAAATTGTAGGGGTAGGAGTTTCCACAACATAGACCAGCTTACAAGATAAATAGGATGGATAACTTTTTTGATTACTGACCGGTTTCGCCAGTTATGGCTCTTCAGGGTAAAAACATAGCATAAAATTGCCCTTGAAGTACTCTCAAAGTGGCTATCAGTTTACGTGACTTCCATTATCATCAAGTTCAGTCACTCTGTATAAACAAAGCGGGATAACTCCCGTGGAATTTGTATAACTATTATTGGATGTACATCTTGTGAATATTTTGACTTTATATTTGTAAAATAAAGATTTTATAATTAAAAGTGTTACATATCTCAACCAGTCTTTGTGTTTTTTTTAGTTCAATTCATCTAGACAGTCTGTACCCTCACTCTGGTAGCCCAGTTCTTTATAATTTATGTTCTCTGATGAGTTGGCAATTTTATGCTATGTTTTTACCCTGACGAGCCATAACTGGCGAAACCGGTCAGTAATAAAAAAGTTATCCATCATATTAATCTTGTAAGCTGGTCTATGTTGTGGAAACTCCTACCCACTACAATTTGTTCACACAACTGAGTGGACACCCGGCATACTGTCAAGGTATCCATAGTCCAGCCAACACCCAACTAAAGGATCCTACCTAATATTGGAACGGCGTTGGCTCTTCTCCCCTTTATAATATGATGAAATCAACAATCAGACTGCACGTGGCATTCATGAGAATGCCAACAAAATCTGGGTGGGTTTAATATTGTAACAGGAAAGAGAATAGTGTGCTTCCACCAGGGATCGAACCCTTGATCTCCAGGTTCCTAGTCGGACGCTCTAACACTGAGCTAAAGGGAAATTCCCTCAAGCTCAAAGCTAGAAGGCGACCTTTATCCTATGCACAATTAATTGAACCCTGCCACACTACTCCCCCCTTTTTAAATGTGTTCGCCCTCAAACAGCACAACCCAGGTTCTAACTCCCTGTCAGTATAGAGAGGGCCATGGACACCATTTGTAACAGGAAAGAGAATAGTGTGTTTCCACCGGCGATTGAAACCTCGATCTCCAAGTTCCTAGTTGGATGCTCTACCACTGAGCTAAAGGGAAATTCCCTCTAGCTCGAAGATAGAAGGCGACCTAAACCTATGTACAATTGAACCCTGCCACAATATCTAAGTCTGTGGTTATAAATCAAAATCAAGTGTACTTTATTTCCAAATGAGGGACCTTTCGAGCATCACACTCAACCATCATAATTAAAAACAATTGTACAAAACAAATTATACAAAATTAAATGTACATTTCTCAAACCAGGAATATATATGGTGGCATAAATGTACTACATATCTATTACATGGCTTTATATGTCTCTGATGATGGTAATGTCATGCCATAACGTCATATGCTTTATATCCATAATATCTCATATATTATTGTATGTATTTATTGAAAATTTATTCCTCCACTAACAATCAAGTATTTTCCTTCTACCCGGAGGAAGCTTGTCAGAAAACTAAAAACCTTTTTCCCTTCAAGGTTTCTGCTACTTTATGGAAATGACAAATTTAGAGTCACGCACCACTCCAAAATGCATGTATACCAACAATCTGTGGCAATATTTTGATTAGACCAGAGACATATAATACAGAGTGTATTATACGTCTCTGATTAGACCTAATACTCGTTCCATTTCAAAAGACTACCATTTTCAGTTGCTGGTTTTTGGTCCAATTTATATATATTTCTTATTTCAACCACAGGTGCTCGGGTTCTGGAATATATGTGATATTATATTATCGCGACCACTAGATATCGCACCCCCTTATACTAATAAATCATATGATTTACTAGTATAAGGGTGTGTGATCTAGTGGGTGCGATAATATATCACAGATTTCAACTGTAGATTATAAACTGTAAGTGTGAAATCCGGGGTAGTTTCTTAGGGCTCGGAAACCGAAAACTCCCCGGCCAGTATACGTACTTAGTTGCAACAAACGTTGAAAAATGCTAGAGGCTAAACATAACAAGATGCTTTTGACAGGCGCTGCCACAATCGGCATAACGGTCAACGATCTAGACACAGGGGCACGCAACTACTTATAGACTTTCAGTCGCTGGGTACGTATAACCTAATACTAGTATTAGGTTATAACGTACCCAGCGACTGAAAGCCTAAAACAAGTCAATATAATTAGTAGTTGCGTGCCCCTGGGATCTAGATATGTAAGCTTACTAGAATGTAAAGACATCACTGAAGAAGGCCCAAGTATCAATAATGCACTAACGTTTCCCCCACTATCAACTTTTCTATTCGTAAGGTAATAGGACGATAAATCTTAATTACCTTGATTTACCTGTCAAGCAAGCTGATTAACACGCTGACATAGCAAGTCTTCCGTAAACAAAGGAAGGGAGGCCACTCTAACAACGATTGTTAGTCTTATCTGCCCGCCAGAATTCAAAGCAAAACTGTTACTTCAAAAATAACTAAATGTTCCCTTGCTTTCAGACTTTTACCTTCAAAAGATATTATCGGTTGTCTTAGAATTCCAATATGTGTTAAAAATACGATTAGATAGTGGAATGAACTCTTATGCTTGAACGCAATTTCTGCAAGTTTCCTACCGTACCAGAGGGCGCCCTCTTACCGGAAGTGTGTTTGTTTGGTTTACCGAACTGACATGTCTGACATTCCAAAATTGCGATTTTCGATCTCTGATATGGAGTGTTAGGTATCAGAACATGGATGGTGAGTGTATTTATTAGTAATTTATCCATGTACTCAACAGATACGTGCTTTGCTGTAAATATAAAATATGTCGGCACGGTATAATACCCTGTTGTTTGATCACTCGTTTCACGTCGGAAGAAATCAATCGGAACTTTACAAAAGGACCTGTCAATTATAATAAGCAATTTTTGATTGACTAATTCTGTTTTCAATAACCTTTTAAATTTCTACGTTTCCTGAAAATGATTGAATTTGAAATATCCCTATTTTGATCAAAATCCACCCTTAAGGCTTATCAACTTGTCAGGACTCCACGACAATTAGTGAACAAAAACATGGAAAGACCATTCCCCTGGTTGGAACAGTACCGGTATCCGACTGAGAAAATGACTATTTACCCAGTAGCTAGTTATCTGATGGTATATTCACTCGGCGACACGGGTATCTAGAGAATAGCTATTTGCCTATCTAGCTGCCAGGTATGACAGAAAATAACTATTTGCCAGGCAGCTGGGTTTTTAGAGAATAATCTTTTGCCCGGCAGCCAGGTATGACATAGAAAATATCTATTTGCCCGGCTGCTTATTATCTAGAGAATAGCTAGGTGCTTGGCAGCCGGGCATCCAGAGAATAACTATTTGCTTGGCAGCCAGGTATCTAGACAATAACTATTTGCCCGTTATCTGTTTATCTAAAGAATAACTTTTTGCCTTTCTGCCTGGTATCTAGAGAATAACTATTCACCCTCTTAGCCTAGTATATATAGAGAATAACCTTTTGCCAAACCGCCGAGTATCTAGAGAATAACAAGTTTCTCTGGCTGCCAGATAACGAGAAAAAATAACTATTTGCCCTTTAGCCAGGTATATGGAGAATAACTATTTGCCCTTTAATAGCCAAACTAAGTAATTACAGTATAGTGTATTAAACAAACACTATTCTTACTAAAGTATTTCTTGGGTATGCTCACTATTTAGCTGAAAAAGTCATGGTATAATACTTTCTCTAATCAATGATCTTGGTACACTATTAGCCAGTATATATATACAGAAACAGCAAAAATCTTCAGCATACTATTCATTTATGTTGCTCAAGAGTCTTAGAATAGGAGTTAATATATATCTTACAATGATAAGTATATAAAGCTAAATGCTGTATAATATTTCTATCACTATATGGTAAATATGTACTGTACTACCTGTTTTGTTGTGAACGTTCACTTACATTCTCCATCTCTACATAGTTTTGTAATTTATAACATTGACCACTTTATCCTATCAGTTAATTAATCTCTACTGAGAGTCCTGTAAAGACAATAGCATATTCAGTACTGTTAGTTTAATTCATTAAATTAGACTGCTATGGTAATATTTGCCAGTGGTCTAGAATCATTTTCTGATTCAAGATTAGGGCAATTATTTTTGTAAAATTATTTGAATCATCCACAACGGTTTCAAGTTAAACTGATCCAAAACATAATCGATTCCATCATCTCTCACTCAGTCATCAGGTAAAAGTTACACGTAATATTCATCTTGTCTTCAAAAGGGAGCCCAATTGAAAAATTTGACACTTCATTTTTCCACATTACACTACAGAATGTATCACTATTTTGTTAAGTTAAGTGTGTTAAAATTAGCCAGTGATTTTTGTGGAAGTTTTAAAAGTAATTCTAAACATCTTTCTCAAAATTTTGAGTCCCATTTCTAAGAGATATAATTATATATATATAATGAGTCCTCAAAAAGTTGATGAGTCAAAACGGAAAAGCATGAGTTCAGGACTCGTATATCTGAGTCACAAAAATTACTACTTTATATATATAAGTTACAAAGTTTATTTGTCCACGTGAAGGGGTAAATGTAGAAAAAAAAGACATAATGACCGACTTCAAAACTAGCAGCTTTCATTGTGTACCCTGAATAGCCCTGTGCAGGGTGAAAGCTGCTAGTGTTGAAATCTGTCATAATATCTTATTTTTTCTGCATGAACAACCTATTGGGATGAGATAATGATTGTATACATATAATGTGTACCAACTGATCATGCTTTTCTTTTGCTTGATTTCAGGTGGTCAGCCATGTATGACGTTTGAACTAGATCACCTTCTCTCTGCCTTCCTGTACAAAGCTAATGTTATTGATGTGGAATGGATGGAGATAACAGATTAACCTCCGTGACATGTATACACAGGAAGACCTTTCCTACTGCATTGGTGGTATTGAAAAGGACGTATCAAAGATGACTTACTAATTAGTTACCAGGAAGTCCATACATTCAATCCCAATATGGCAAATTGTGATGACAATTGTGTTGAAAATGTAATGAACACTTTAGAGTCATTACACATCAGTGATCAACATAAGGCCAGTAGTGACCATGGGCAACAGGGCAATGTATTTGGGAGAACTCAAGGGGCAGGCAAAGCGACTGCCGAGGGGCACGTGCAATCTGATGTGGAGACTGTTGGTGGGGAGGGTGAGATTTCTCGAGAGGCGAGACGGCGGCAACGGAGACAGGAAAGGGCCAGATCCAGAGAGTCATCTATGGAACGAAAAAATGAGGAAAAAGACACAAGTTCAATAGACAGTGAAATAGGAGGTCAAAAATCTAGACGGAAACGTTTTATAACAAGAGATGCAGAGTCATCTGATGGAGAGAAAACAAACAGTACAGAAGTACCCTCTATTGTTGTACCTGTTCTGGATTCCACCAAACTTCCCCGGAGTCGGCAAATAAGGAAACCGGCAGAGGGAACAATATCCCCACCAGTGACATTACCTGTCAAGATAGTTGATGAAACCTCCAAGTCTGAGGCAACATCCTCCTCTGTAAGTAAGGCTGAGGACCTACAGCGGCGGCGACAAAGGAGGCGAGAACTTAGTGCTGAACGGAGATCCAGGATGACTGCTCCACTTGTATCTCCTGAACCAGATATAATGCCAGATGTCAAGACCACCACTGTTCCAACTGGCAATAGACTGGGTAACAATTTAAACACTATGCAAAATAATACATCTAATTGTCAGCCTACAGGTGGTCCTGAAGTTCATGTCCCTGTGATTAAAAACGTTCATTCTGAGGTAGTAACTGCACAATCAGTGTCATCAGGCTACCAAAGTAATGACGAGTCATCTGGACAGACAAAATATAAACTGTTAAGGACAACAAGGAGTGATGGAAGAGAGAGACGATTATCGGGAAGTGACGGTGTTCCTAGTTCACAAAGTCCGAAGCATAATCTGCATGCTCAGAATTCAAAACAATCTAATGAATACAATTTGCCATCAGAAGTAGACCAGAAAAATGCAAAGTTAATATTTCAGTCAAGTCATGATATGAATGGAGATGGTCTAGAAGGAGATGAGTCTCAGAAACTATCTGTGAATGCTGGCAATGCTTCTGCTGCTGGTGCCCCGGTAAGTCCCCCCTACAAGCACGGCATGCAGAATCTCTCTCCTAAGCCATACAGTCCTCCTGGAAGACATGATGCCGAGGGATCTTCACCAACATTTTCACCTTGGCCAGCACAGCCTGTATCCCCCTACCCAGCTAGTCCTCGCCAGGATGTACGACCAGTCCAGCCATCTCCCATATCAGATGGGGAGGCTAGGCGTAGTCCTGGTCTAGCTCAGATGAGCAGTAGATCTCCACACGGATCTGGGTCAACCCCGACTAAGTCCCAAAGTGCAGAGGAGATGTCTGGTAGGAAGAAGGACCTGACACCTTCCTCCAAAAGTAGTAAGTCTATGGACTTCAGTGACCAGAATGCTTTTAAAGGAACATCCTCATTGAAGCGGACAGCACTTGTTACAGACTTGGACAAAGCCATGCAGCAGATGGACCAGGAAAGACTCCATAAGCTGTTTAAGAATGAGGGACAGACAGAACCCCAAAATCAGAAACCGGCAGTTAGTGAAGGTGTGATAGGGTCACCAGGGGATAACGATGTGATGGAGACAGATTTAGATGCGGAAACTGTGACCCCTAGTAAATACAGAACACCAACCAAAGCAACAGTACCTATTGCAGGTAATTCCACTTCAAGTGGAAAATTACTTACTTCACTGAGAGATAACTATCAAAAACTACAAAAGACAGTAGCCTCCCACAGACAAAGGACAGGGTCTGACTCCTCCCTGCTGGAGAGACCAAATATAAAGAAAGTTAAGGAAAGACAGAAAACGGTGGATGATTCCTACAGACCGCAGGTCAATCTAGAGGATGCTGTTAGATGGCCTGAGTCCATACCAGGGAAACTAGATTTCAGACAACTAGATGTATTCGAAGGTAAGATTTAAAACCTAATCATATAATCTTTTTAACTTTGTGATGAGTGAAAATATATAAATGGAATTGTTTTGTAGAACTGCACAAGTTGAAAAAGTTATGAACTATAGGTGATGTATGATTATATACGAAACTCATAAATGAGAAAGCCACTTGGTTTTAATCTACAGAATGAACTACTAGAAGTAAATATTTATAAATAAGATATGGTGTAGTTGTAATTATGATAAAAGTAACAATAACATTTCCATGTTTTACCTGGATACAGGGAAGATGCTGCTGCAGTTTCTGTGTTCATCAATAGATGATAACCACTACTTACGCCTGATACTGACCCCTCACGACCTCCAAGTGGTCATCTCCCAGGTGGTCACCTGTCTCATAGCCACCGGTATTATCAAGGAATTGGAGGAGAGGGAAGGCCAGTTTGTCTTCAGGGTATGTGCTGCAAATATTAAGTTGTTAATTGGTGTTTCTGATGTAGAACAGGCATCTCTCCAGACTTGGTTTATTGCTGTAGACTGATTGTTTACTGTACAGTAGCTGGTAACTGTGTAACTGTTTTGAAATACATAGTTGTTATAACTTCAGCACAAGTAAAGACTTTCAATAAAAACCCATGGAAAGCATATTCTTTATATTAATAACAAATTTATATGCAAAAACATCTGGCTTGACATACAAAATTGTAGAATTAATACAAGGAACAATGGAATTTAAATTTTTAATACACTTAAGAGCATGTCTTCCATAAAACCATGCAAAATGGGGAAAAACCGTCCAGATGGGTGTTTATAATATACCGCAATCAATAAAAAATCATAAATTATGTATCTACTTTTAGTAACTGTTGATATACGAATTAGTTGAAAATCTTAATTGAACTTGTCAAAAATTGAGAAAAAACATTGTAATAAAAGTACCTTGGAAAAATAAGTCAAACTCATGACTTATTGTTCAAAAATAATTGAAGAGTAAGATGATTGTTTGCAGAACATTTATGAATTAAAATTTGAAAAAAATGATTAAAGGGGAACTTGTGTTGACCTTTCAAAAATCTTTTTTTTTAAACTTTTAAAAATCATGCGACTACTTTTAGCAAAATCTAAAATAATTAAAATAGCCAGCAGACAGATTTACACCCCAACATGCACTTTTATAATAAATGTTGAATATGTTTACCAGGCCTGTTATAAAATGTACTAGCTTCAGGCATCAGACTAATGGTATGATGACAGTTATCACCTTCTGAAAGGGAGACAACTCTGGCTTCTTTACAAATGTAAGCCAAGTATGATTTTACATTGGGGTGTAAAAATCCACTTTGACATTCAGGATATTACAATTTTGGACTGTCAGTTTGACAGGCTCTCAAATCTTCACCCATTCTCACTGAGCCTGTACACCATTTATAAGTAGAAAGCATCCATTGGAGTGAAAGTTTTAGCTCTGCAGACATGGACTCCATCTATGATAACTTGTCCTGGCCAAGTGCTTTCAAAAATAATTTAACACCCCACTTTATAGTGTTACACTTTGTACATACTAAACATAAATTTGGTTGTAGGATGGGATAACCACACTTTGTACATACTAAACATAAATTTGGTTGTAGGATGGGATAACCACACTTTGTACATACTAAACATAAATTTGGTTGTAGGGTGGGATAAACAAGTTTCTTATGATCCAATGTTTCTCCGTTGTCGCTTTATCACATGTTAATATCAGTACCATAATGTACAGTTATGGTGTTGATGTGTGATATGTACACATTGTGCACACCATGGGTGGACAATAAAGAAAACGATGATAGTAGCTTGTACATGATGGATGTACGAAATGAAGATGAGTGATTTCTGTCGTAGATGATTTAAATTTAGGAATGGCTTATATGATTTCAAATAAAGATGAATAAAGACCTGTAGAATTTTACATTTTACATTTTGTTTCCATTTTATCTAACTCAGAAAACTTAGCTATCTGTTTTTGTTAAATTCAGAAAAGGACATTTTCATTTTGATTACCGTATGAACAATTTTGATAATTTTCATATTTGGACAATCAGTACCTAGAGCTGCCCTACAATAAATAATGTATATAAATTATTTTAAATTTCTGTGTAGAGGTCTGACATAAGATTCTCCCGACGGAAATGGACTAAAGTAAAGAGTACATGTCCATGTATTGGTATGTACACATGTACTGACAGTGAGGTATACACAAATGAACACCTAATGATATAAGGTACTGGGACCTGTGTTGGATATTAGGACATCTGACTGTGTACTAACTACTATGTAAAATTGAGGAAAAGGTGTGTGTCACATTATCTAGATTGTTTAGCAATGTTTTGTGGAGGTGCGTATACACAGAAATGTGTTGGTTTATACCTTATGTTGTATAATGAGCTGAACATTGTACGTATGTATGATGATTTAATCATTCATTATTGGAACATCATGATTATGAAACTATGGGGAAGATTGATGGAAAAGTTTTGGAATAGACTAGACCACCCATAGAATAAGATTTTGATGAATCCCCGAGTCATCTAACACGTTACCAAGGTAACGTTTTTATACCAGTATGAACTTGAGTCCTGTTTGCATATCTTTGACAATAATTTTGTCTTTTTAGCATATCATACAATTGATGTTCAAGAATCATGTGAAATGGAAATCTTATTTTTATTTGTTTTCCCTCTGTATTCAGGCCATCAAATTATATATCTATGAACATAGATCTAATGTCCCTGGCTTGTGATGAACAGGATGAGTTACGCCTGATCACAATCAACGACTTGATTCCATTTGAAAAACTTAATCATTAAACTAGAAATGTAGATTTTCATCTAAGATGATATCTGTCTTTCTTAATATTATTTGAAAGGTTGATACAAATATTATCAGCAGATGAAATGTTTGCAATATATTCTGAGTTCTAGATGTACATAAATAAAATGATAAAATTTACTTTGAAAGACATATCATATTCAGTGAAATCTGTCTTTGACTGGAATATAAAAGGTCACAACCAAGATGTCAGGGATATGATCAACGATGTTTATAATACATGGCCATGCATGGTCGCTCTCATTCTATTCCTGTGTAGAAAAATGTTACATTTCTGAATCAAATTATACCTGTCACATGATGTAAGTAAATGTATTACATATACCTGTCATAGGATGTAAGTAAATATATTACATATACCTGTCACATTATGTAAGTAAATATAATACATATACCTGTCACATGATGTAAGTAAATATATTACATATACCTGTCACATGATGTAAGTAAATATTAGATATACCTGTCATAGGATGTTAGTAAATATTACATATACCTGTCACATTATGTAAGTAAATATTACATATATCTGTCATAGGATGTAAGTAAATATATAACAACATACCTGTCATAGGATGTAAGTAAATATATTACATATACCTGTCACATTATGTAAGTAAATATAAGATATATCTGTCATATGATGTCAGTAAATATAAGATATCCCGGTTACATGATGTAAGTAAATATTACATATGCCTGTCACATGATGAAAGTAAATAATAGATAATCAATTAATAGACAATTTATGACAATTACTTTTTATATGTATATTTATCTTACCTTTGAAATAATGTTGTACAATGTTACCTTTGACATAATGTATCTGTAGTACAATGTGACCTTTGACATGCTTTAGGACAATGTGACCTTTGACATGATTTAGGACAATGTGACCTTTGACATAATGTACCTGTAGTACAATATTACCTTTGACATGATTTAGTACAATGTTACCTTTGACATAATGTAGTACAATGTTACCTTTGACATAATGTAATACAATGAAACCTTTGACATGATTTAGTACAATGATATACTGACATGATGTAGTACAATGTTACACTGACATGATGTACTACAATGTTACACTGACATGATTTAGTACAATGTTACCTTTGACATAATGTAATACAATGAAACCTTTGACATGATTTAGTACAATGATATACTGACATGATTTTGTACAATAATATACTGACATGATGTAGAACAATGTCACACTGACATGATGTAGTACAATGATATACTGGCATGATGTAGTACAATGTTACACTGACATGATTTGGACAATGTTACCTTTGACATAATGTAGTACACTGTTCCCTTTCACATAATGAAGTACACTGCTTCCTTTGACATAATGAAGTACAATTTTCCCTTTGACATAATGAAGTACAAATTGTTACACTGACATAATGAAGTACAATGTTACACTGACATAATTTAGTACAATGTTACCTTTGACATAATGTAGTACACTGTTCCCTTTGACATAATGTAGTACATTGTTACCTTTGACATAATGTAGTAAGTACACTGTTACCTTTGACATAATGTAGTACACTGTTTCCTTTGACACAATGTAATACAATGTTACACTAACATGATAAAGTACAATAATACCTTTGACATGCATGATGTAGTACAATGTTTCCTTTGACATGATGAACATTATTTTGATGTAGGGCAGTGTTACCTGACAATAATACCACACCATGACTTCAAGCCTTATATGATGATGCTATCTCTCTGTGACAGAGATGTTTGAAATGAGATACTATCATCGCCCAAACATACACTGATAGGTACATGTATACTTGCTGGTGGTATCTACCTTTCACTTACCTGTCTGTATCCACTAAGATATGTAGGTACACAGGAATAATCGACACTTGGTTCTGGGTGTCCAACCTTTACCTGACTGACCACCATCATCAACACACGCTGTCACTGTTTCTAAGTGGTTGATTGTGGTTCCCTTGGTCACAGGTCTAGTTTTACCTGGAGCCTTGACACTTATGGGTGCTTATCAGAACTAATTTTCCAATGCAGGAAAAATTCCACCCTGGATGTAATTAGTCACACCTACAGAGGCTGTTTCAGTACAGGATTTAGTCCAATATGCAAGAGATTTTGTCACCAGGCGTCATGTAGTAAATTGGTGGTCTGCCATAGCCGTAATTGTGACGGTATAATTGACTTTGAATGTATCACGGACGCGGATGAAGTTAATTACCAAGCAAATGTCGCCAGAGTATCACTTCATATTAAATACGGATCACGAAAGTGTTACGTTTTATTCTGCTGACTCAATGCCTGGGATTGCATTTAATAAGTCTGGTGTATGGCTGTCATCTGTCCTGATTTGATAGTGTGGAAGTTTGGCTTCAGTAAGGTACTATATATTGGTACAGTGTATGGAGACGTTGATGGGGAGGCCACCACTGTACACAAACTTAACACTAGTGGTGGTTGGGTGTGTCATGTGACAGGTATACTGTATCTGTGATATCTGTGGCTCCAAATGCCGTACGAGGTGAAGTCGGAGACTTCTTTGACTCTCTCACTTGTTTGCATGGA